GGCTATTGCTACTGCTGCTGATTTTCCACTGAGAGAAAATGCAGCGAAAATGTAAACGATAAAAAATTCCATTTAATAAATAAATTGTTCTCATAAATGTAATAACTAAGAAAATACTAGATAGAATGTTTTCATAAAGTTTTTTTATCATAATGGAAATAAAGATAACATTAATCATAGCAATACTTTATTCTGTGCTTAACCTATATTACTATTATTATTAAGTAGTTTATAAATAAGCCTTCCGTTCAGCATAATCTTAATATATTAAATGATAATTTTACCTTTACAATTATTATATCATAATTAAGGTCATAATTATAAAATTAAATTAAAGCATGCGTGAATGCTTTGATTTTTCTCAGTGCAACAGGGGTAAGTAAATAGTTGATACAAGGTATTTACTCACTTTATGGTTTCTGACAGGCCGTGATTCCTGCTGCTCGCTGCCTCGCTACCTCGCATGCAAATAGTCACATGTAACCTCACCTCCATTAAAACGAGCCCCGATCCGGATGCTAGTTTCATTGGGCTCGCGTTGCTCACCCCTTTCCAGGATCTCGTCCTCGTCCTTGTCCTCGTCCTCGTCCTCGACCCGTTAATAAAGTTGCTCAAGTGTAGTCGAGTGGCATATGTTCGTCCGGGGAGTCGGCAAGGGTTTTTGGGCGAAGCTCGAGAGTGCGTGCGTGTCTGGCTTTTGTTACGTCACACAGGATTAGGCATAATGAAGTGTTTTAATGCGTTTAGGCACACAAACACAGGAACACCGAATAACACGGGGAATGGCTGAAATAGCTAAGAGTGTAATTAATTTGTAAGCATTTTACGGTTTGATATACTTCAATTACTATAACCGATTTTTATGGGAGTGGTGAATACTTTCACGACTCTGTTGTAAACGTTTCGATGGGCATATATTTGAACAACATTGAAAATAATTTGTAAAATCCTCTTTAAACATTGCTCGCCAGAAATAGGCTCATTATTTACCTGCTCTTTTATTATTAAAATAAATTATTAACACAATGCCGATACTTTTAGTCCGCTTTTAAATTTTGTCAAAATATAGTGTTACTTTGTGGTATGTAAAAAAGTAAATGATTTGAATTCTGTCCTTATCCAAAACTATCATATTATTCGATTCCCACAATTCTTCTCTTGGGCTGGCGAATTTTCCTGTTGTTTTGCTGGCTGCTCTCTTTCACTTTTTTACACCTTAATGCATTTGAAATTTGATTTTATTTATTTTCGGACACACACGGTTTGAGTTGTGGCGCCAGAGAGTGAGACCCAGCGAAGGGAGTGGGGTTGAGGGAAAAACCATTAAAGAAATTACATGTTTGATGCCGGCAGCTCCTGTCCGCAGGATGGATGGATGGATGAGTGCCGAGGGTGTTGGGATGTGGCCCGGGAACGCAGATGGGCAGATGGGGTAAATGCAATCGCATTGATGTTTAAAAAGCGACGACTATGGCGCTTAAATGTCTGGAAATGGGCGTTAACAATGCTTCAATGCGAGGGGCGTGGCTGGGCAGACGCTCGTTTTGTGGGCTAAAAACATCAAAGTGATTGAATTGTTGCGATTGCTTTGAAAATCAAGAAAAACCTTCGGGGGTCGGTGGAGTGTTTATTTTTGACGAGGGGTTTCACAAATACCATTTGTACATGCAAATCAAATTAAAATTGCCAACGTATGTGACCGCTAATGTGGAAAATGAGTTGATTAAGCTAGTTAGATCGAAGTTGAGTTTTTTCTGAAATAAACTTCATTCAAGTAATTTAAAATTACAAATAAACAAACTACACAGTTTCCAATTTCCCCTGACGTTTTTGTTGCAAATGCATTTTAGCTGTTTGCCACTGCCGCGTCGATTGCGCATTATTCTCCATTGCAATAAATACAAATTAATCGGGTCGAAAGCTCCATCGGCTCCGAGTGCAGACCACTTTCTGTTTACCAACAATTGCCATTAAAATTTAAACCACAGCAATCATTATTAATGGTTCAGCCAGTTCTTTTTATAAATGTATTCAAATTGTTGCAATAACAACGTATCTTATGAGAGTGAAATTCTGTAGCTATAATGTATAAAGTGTAATTCAACGCAGCTGTAATGGCAGTAATTATAACGCCATTTCAATGTATTTCTCTGTGGTGAAAATAATAGTCACGGCTCTGAAAATGCAAAGGGGAATATGAGTTAACAAAGTTCCGATTAAGTGATAAAACGTATTGTATAACGTTAACAATAATAAAATACATTATTTGGATAATATTTTACTTTTTATGGAAAGGGGCAGGTGTTAAAAACTGTCTCTGAACAGAACCTCTTTCTCACGCCTGTAAGGCAAGGCCTTTTGGGTGATTTTCTCCTTGCACACTTTCTTAATTAACTGGCGAACATCTCGAATTTCCAAACACAAAAGTGTTAAAAAAGAACATCAGGGCGGCGAATTGCAAGGCGATGAAGATGGCGATGTCGATGAATATGGAGACGATACGTCTGATACGAATCACATTAGCTAGATTTGCATCGGGATTACGCGTTGCCCCGAACAGGAGCATTCGGCACCTCGGCACCGCATCGCATCCTAAGCCCCGGCATTGTGACAATTGTCACAAATCAAGATCCTCCGGATCTGGGCCAGCAGCACTCGAGATGGCAACAAAGACCTAAGCAGATTTGTGCTAATATGACGGCATCTGTTTGACAATGAGAGCGCGAGGGAGAGATATGTTAGGCCCTAAGGATATATAATACATAAAAATCGGCAAGGCGAGGTGCGTGTGAGTGTCGACAACGCCTTCAGAGAATCCCCGAGAATCCTTCGAATCTGCTCGTCCTGGAGATCCTGCCAGTGCGGCACACGAGCATTGCTTCAAGTGCTCAAGTGTTTGTTTAAATTATGCAAATCTGCGCAAATCCTGCGGGCGGGTCATGGGCACGAATAGCGATTCGAATCCCGATCCGAAATGGTCTGGACCCTTGCAGACAAAGCGACGTGCACGTTTAATTGGTAAAAGTAGTCCAACTGTCTGGGAATTATCTGGCAGGGCCAGAGATTTACTAAGCGCGAGCGGGGAGTTCCTGGAAACCCCTGCTATACACACCATTTTCGGGGCCCCTCAGAATCAGAAGGCTGCCCGTAATTACTTAGCACTGCCTTTTAACGCAAGCCACCCACGACCTCAGTGCAGAGGCCCCAACTCATAAACAAGTTAACGACCAGGTGCACTCAAAGAATTCTTGATTATTTATTTAGCAGCGCCTCAGATTGTTTGGGTTTTATCAACTTTGGTCACTAAACAAAATTACATAATATAACTTTTAAAAAATAAATTTCAAATCAGACCATTATATTTACGTTTACATTTTAAATTCAAAATCTCTAGTTTTTATAGTTTCCGAGATCTAGACTTTCATACGGACAAACGGACATGCTAGATCGACTCGGCTACAGATCCTGTTCAAGAATATGTATACTTTATATATATATATTTTAAAGGTAAATTAAACAGTATTATTTGCCGTGTGCTTTGAGAAGAGAAAAGGGAATATGGCGGGTGGCAACTGGGGGTAGCCACTTGGAGCGCGTAATTTGCGCCAAATTACAGATGAAAAGCAGCGAAAATTGTAAAAAGCAGGCAAACGAGGTGGGAATTTGGGATGTAGGGAAGTACCACCCCTGCCAGGGGGATGCAAAAGTGGGGGAGGCACGAGTGTAATTGCAAACATGGGAATTGACTAATTGCGGGAAAGCAAGGGAGTCGAGCGCCATTGGCGGACCATCGGCAGAGGAGGGCTGGGCCATGATGCCACTCCAGATCAGGAGGAAAATGTATATGGATACGGGATTGTGTTCGGAATTGCAAATGGAAACAAAAACAGAAGCGACCAGAGGCACTAGGTGTGTGGGCGTTTCGTCATCCGTCAGATGTTTTGCCAACTTCAGGCCAAATATGCAAAAATATTTGGCACGCATGTGCCTTTGTTGTCTTTATTGTTCGGTTCCCTATTCGAACGCGGCGTCGGCATCTAGCTGGATACAAAAGTATCTAGATCGGGCATTGTAGAAAACCAGAACCAATCCCTCCTCGAGGGAGAGAATGAGAATCCAAAGCCTGGGGATCTGAGCCGCTTTCGGGCATTTTAGTGGATTAACGAGCGGCGAACAAAACGCATGTATGGTAGATGTAGTGCAAATAGCTGGACGGGTAAGCAGCTCATTACCATTGTGCGGCGTGTGCAGTGCGTGGTAAATATTTTGCTACACTTTCCATTATCCCTGCCCGGTCTTATTCCACCGCGGACAATGAGACTGCCTGGCGGGACAACAAGATGGACCGGAGAAAATACGGCTTCTGAGGGTTATGGGGCGGAGGTTTTTAATAAAATCAGAGCAACACATGTGACGAAGGCGGGGTAATCGTTCTGATCTTTTTTCGTCACAACAAAAAGGAATGATATCCGTTTGCTAAATGAGTAAGTAAAGGTTTAAAATTCGATTTGAAGAAAATATTTTAGGTTTTATTTAAGAATTGGGAGACTTTATTCAAAAATAAAACTCTATTTAATAATTAGGGATTGTTAGGGTCACTATGGCAGTAGCACACTCCTTTTGGTTAAATTTTTTATAATTTCCTTTAAAACCCTGATACAGCTAAGACCATAAATTTTGAATTTTCAAAGAGATAATAAAAAAATCAGAAAACATCTTAATAGCGTTTAATTGAAATAAGTTTATTTAATTAAGAATCAGCAAACTAAAATTTTTGTTAATTGTTTAATGTTGTACCATTTAATGTGCTTGCAAAAAAAAAATAAATAAACCTTTCATTTGTTTGTTTTCTAAGTAAAATCTTTTGTCATATGTTTTAAAACAACTTCTTAATAAGAATTAAAAATATTTAATTGAAATTCGCGCCAAATTGTTATCGATAAGCGAAGTCAAGAGCTGAGTGACCAGCTCATTTAGTATTTTGTGCATTATACGACACTGGTCACACACAGCTGTCAGCTTTGTTTTTACTTTAAAAAACTTGTGCCGGCATCTGGTCGATTTCTGACTTAAAATAAGCTTGTTCAGCGCGTAATTAGTAGGAATTCAAGCAACAAGATGTCTTTCGTGGGACGTACACTGATTCGCAACGTAAGTTGGTGGATGGACCGAGATCTTTTTGAAAACATGCCACAGCGATTACGTAATTGGCTGAACCCGCGTTCCAATATCGAATCAATCTGATTTATTATGTATTGCAGGTGCCGCTGTTTGGCAAAGCTGTTCTGAGTCAGCAGAAACAGTTTGCAGCCCGCCTGCTCCATCAAAGTGAGTTATTTGAACACGTTAGGAGGCTGCTATGTTGGCTAAAAGCTGGCAATTCATTGATCTTTAGGCAGCGTTATCTCCGGCCATGCAAAGTGTACATATATCGCTTACTACATACAGAAATAGTACCCCGGTTTCAAATGTGATAAGTGATTATTGAGGCAGAGTTACTCTCATAAATCAAAACTTCTCTGTCCTCTGGATGTAAACGGTGAAGCGGCAGACTTGCGTTCTCACATTAAGATGATCATGAAGCCGCTTCGTCGTTTATAACCAGCCAGACAATACGAATTGCTTAAACTCAAAGTCTCTTTACCCAACAAGTTAAGGGTTTATGTAAATAGAATTAACTATTTTCAAAATCTACTTAGTGTTGTTTGATATATCTTAAACTTATCATGACTTTAGACTAGAAAATATACAGTGGAAATATATAAATAATCAATCCTTAAAAATTAAGTTTTCTACAAAACAAATGTAGATTGAACACTGCCAATGATATATAATTGCAAGATCGAGTCTCTTCCTATTTGGATCTTGTTTTAATGTATTATTATTTTTCAGCCGCTCCCCTTGCAGCAGTTCGTGTTCAGCAGCCCGCTCCCGATTTCAAGGGTCTGGCGGTGGTGGGTAACAGCTTCCAGGAGGTGAAGCTGGAGGACTACAGGGGCAAGTACCTGGTGCTGTTCTTCTACCCACTGGATTTGTAAGTGTAAATTGCAGTTTCAACTGTCAGTATACTCTAACCTTTGACCCCACACCTACAGCACATTCGTTTGCCCCACGGAAATCGTTGCATTTAGCGAGCGCATCAAGGAGTTCCACGACATCAATGCCGAGGTTTTGGGCGTGTCCGTGGACTCCCACTTCAGCCACCTTACCTGGTGCAATGTGGACCGCAAGAACGGCGGTGTGGGCCAGCTGAGCTACCCGCTCCTCTCCGATTTGACCAAGAAGATCTCCGCCGACTACGATGTGCTGCTGGACAAGGAGGGCATCTCGTTGCGCGGCACCTTCATCATCGATCCCAACGGCATCCTGCGCCAGTACTCCATTAACGACCTGCCCGTGGGTCGATCCGTCGACGAGGTGCTCCGCCTGATCAAGGCCTTCCAGTTCGTCGAGCAGCACGGAGAGGTGTGCCCGGCCAACTGGAACCCCAAGTCGAATCCGGCCACCATCAAGCCCGATGTCGAGGAGTCCAAGAAGTACTTCAGCAAGCACGGCTAGGGAGTCATTTAATAATTAATAGCACACCTGAAACATTCACTACACTGAAAAGACTCGAAGAATAAAGAGGTAAAAGATGGGAAATTCAAGTTTATGAATTGAAATTACAAGGAATATTTCAGCATGGAATTGGTTTTCAGAAATATTTAATTTGCCAAGCCACATTTCTCACCTTTGAAATATATATGTTAAAAGTACTTCTTGATACAGTATTATCCGACAGATCTTGACTATTGGAATCGCCTTAAGTTTACTTTTTTAACGGATGGATAAAAGCCAAAATTTATTTTGATTTGCAACTGTTCCATCCTCAATATTTTTAAAATCATATTCTACCAAGTTAACAACAATATGTGTTTAGTGGTAAAATCAAATAATTTAATATTTAATTCCGTCCTTTATTTGAATCAGCGTAAAATACAAATGTGTTTTGTAGGCTTGTCTGGATTATCGATTATAGTGAAAGCGAATAATGTGGTCGGGGATTAAGATTACGTTGTTAATTGATTGCAGGGACAGTCTCATGCGGTCGAGCACTATCGTCGGATCATCTGAGCGAGATCGGTATCGATCCTATGAAAGTGCGAAAGCTCAGGTGGAGGGCGGTGGAGGTGGCGGCGGCTGCGACAGGCTCAAGGATGGTGGCGGCGGGGCGCAGGGCGGAGGTGGAGGCGGCGCATAGCCACCGCCCCAGCCACTGTAAGCGCCTCCGCCCCACGGCGGCATGGGCGGGGCACTGGTGCCAGGAGGCGGCGGGATGAGCGGCGGCAAGGTGCCCGGTATGGGTGGATTCATCGGCTCCGTCGCCGGTGGCGGCGGTTGCGGTGCGCTCATCCACGGCATCAGCGGCGGCGGCATCGGGGGCGGTGCCTGGGCGCCCGGCGGTGCCGGCACATAGGCCGCCATAGCGTGCTCCATGCCCAGGCTCATGGCGTGATCCATCGCTCCCATGCCGTGACCGTGCTGGTCCAAGCCCATACCGTGCTCCATGCCCATGCCGTGATCGTGCGCCGCCGCTCCCCATCCGCCCAGGTCGCGCTGGTGGTCTCGCGACGAGGAGCTCGGTGGCGACTGGATGGCCTGCATCTGCGAGGGCTTCTTATCGAAGATGCTGTAGCTGGCGCGGTGCAACTGAGGTCCGTTGTTGGCTGGCGGATCCGGCTTGGCAGACGCTGCTGTCGGCGGCGGTCCTTCGCCCAACTCTGCCATCAGACTCATGTACTCCTCGTCGATCTTCGCCTGCGAGTCTTCGCAGGCCATGCCCGGTGCACCGGATCCCGGGCGCTTGTTGCGACAATCCTTGGTCAAATGACCCGTTCCGCCACACGAGGTACACACTATCGTGTTCGTTATGATGGGCTTATCCGGACACTGCCAGGACTTGTGGTCCGTCGAGCCACACGTACAGCGCTGGATGTCGTTCTCGCGCAGCGTTCCGTTCAGTTGAGCCAGCTCGCGCAGCTGCATCCTGCGCAGATCGTTGTGGCCCTCGGGCACCTCGATACCCTGTCGGATGACGTCCTTGATCTTGTCCACTGCCTTGCGCACCGCCTCCGGATTTGGGGCGGTGATGAAGGCATGCAGCGGCTCGTCCTCGCCCGGCAACGGTTGGCCATCCTTGCGCCCCACTTTGCCCTCCTTCACCGATCCCTTGCCGCGAATTATGATCTTGGCGCCCGTATCCTTCTCCATAGCCTTGAGCGTGTTGCCGCGCGGTCCGATCAGCAGGCCTACGAAGTTGATGTCCGGATGCTGCTCCTGCGGAATCAGCACTTTGTCACTGACTCGGGTAACTGGCGGTCTAAAAAAGCAGAAAGATTAGAAAGACATATTTATAAACAACAAGACTGTAAAGCCCACTTACTTGTAGTCCGCCGGTGGCTTGAACTCGGGGTTCACCGTCTGCATCTTGACGATCAGTTGGTGGCGCTGTTCCTCCAAACGTTTCCTGTAGCGGAACTCGCGGGTATTCAACCGCTTGCCATCAGAACTGTAAATGGGCTCCGGCGATGGAGACCTGCGGACGAGAAAAAAAACAGAGAGAAGAGACAACTTTGATGAGATTAGTCTTGAGCTTCTGGGCGGGAGGATGCTATTGGCGCTAGACTTAGTGATCTTAACCTAAGTACTGACTAATAACTTTTATCAATATGCTGTAAGTTGCAAATCAAATTAATTAATCAAGTTTTTCATTAGCATTAGCAGGAAATAATTATTCGCTGGGGAATTGAGAAAAGAAGAATTTTGATTAATTCGTTCGATTCGGTAGCTGTTTCTATTTCGTTTCTGTGTTTGTCGCACCCGTTGGTTTCTTTGCGAGAAACCCCAACTACCGGCACGCTTAGTGGAAGAAAAGAAGAGTTGACGTTAATGAAAATGTAGAATCTATTCTTGTTATTATTTCCAGGCGCTTACATATTCTGTGCCCTTTTGGATGGAATCATTCAATCGATCACTGATTTGATCGCTGTCTCTAGAATCCCTTGAAGAGTATCATTAGTTAAAATAAATATTTTGGTTAACAAATTAGCTACAAAACTCAGGTCATTCGGTTAGGCTCCAACCGCCTTCTCTTACACTTCTGTAAATATTGGACATTATCGCCATTGGGCACTAGTTAAACATAAGTTTAACATTTAGTTATGATTTACACGGGATAGAACAAAACTTTATAAGAGGAGCTTTTGCCTCGCGATGCTCCTTCGATTTTAACGCAAATTCAACATAGATTCTTTTTTCTTGTTAATATTCAATACAGTAAATATCGGTTTGTGAAATACGGATAGATTTAGAACATTTTTGAAAAACTGTTTTTACACACATAAAAACTATAAAAAAAATACTCATCATTTCATTTGTCTGCTAAACCTTTAAAATATCACAAAAGTATTTCTTAGTTTAATTTGTTTAATTATTTTCTCCGCCGATATCTACTGTATTGTTGAACGACTTCAGTGGATCTTAACTGCTAGTAGAGATTTATGTGGGACCCCGCAAATCATTGGCATGCCACAGTGGAACCTGTTGGACTCTTGGTCGAAGAAGCATCCTTCCGGACCGGCCGCCGTTTTGTTCAGGAAGGATATTGCTGCTCGGTGGGTGTCTGGTATTCATTGGCTTCGCACGGGCAACCTTTGATTGAGAGACTCAGTGGGGGGAAAGAGAACTGTTTCAAACCTTTCTTCCGGATTCTGCGTGATGCCCATGTCGCCAGTTCGCAGCTTGCGGCTGATCTCCTCGATTTGGAATTGAACTGAAATTAGAAGGCGTTAGAAAAGAAGGAAGAAAATCGAGCGCAACCTCGACATTAGTAAACGTCACATGCTGGTTTTCTAGAGAATGGGAGAGATATCAATTAAATGGGGGGTCAAATGGTATTGTGGCTATTGAGATTTGTATCGCTTAGTGTGTCCGCTCCTAAACTAACTGAAAATGCTGTGAGCGTTACAATTGAGTTAATTAATTAAATAATTAAGTGGGGTATAATTTGATTAGTTCGACTGCGGATTAATCTCTGCAAAAATAAATATAAGCTGAACAGCCACACAAATGTTCTGTATTCGAGTATTCTAGCCGAATACGTTGGAATGCAACGCATGTCGTATCGTATCGTTTGTGTGCCACGCTGGAATCCCTTCAAAAAGAGAACGAGAGATTATTATATTTTGCTCAATGCCGTTTGTTGTTGGATTCAGATTTTAGATTGGTTTACGATCTCTGCACCAGCTGCTCGTCTCCGGCGTCTGATTCTGAAGTGTGGCTCTGTCCCTTTCTCTGTTTTCATCCTTGATTGTTTGTCATTAGGCTTAGGACTAGTTGCAGTGCTTAAAAGTTAACTTAGTTGCGAGCTCTGCTGCGATCAGCAGCAATTTGAAGTTGCGTTTACCTAGATAGGCTTCCTGTTGTGCTGGGTCCAGGGTGGAGGGCAAAATCGTGGGCATTCCCGGTATAAAGGTCTTGTCGTTTTCACTGCCGCCCCAGCGAGATTTGCGTTTCCTTTTCCGTTCCGCAGCGCTGTCCACTGTAATTAAAATATCAGTTAGTAAAATACTTAATTAAGGGCTCCATTATACCCACTTGAATTTTCAAAAGCTCCATTGCTGTTGGAGTCATTGCTGTTCTGGTTGTTGAAGAACGAGGCGAATCCCTTGCTGCCTCCCGCGCTTCCCATCAGCTCCTGAATGGTCTGAGATAAATCAAACCTCGAGTCCCTTGGCTCCTCCCTGATCGTTTCCAATCCCTGCGGCTGCCGGTCGAAGAGGGAGGGAATCCTGGGCTGGTCATGATCCTGATTCAAGGAGTTGCGACTGTTGGAAGTGTCGAAGGGGTTTACATGTGTACGTTCCCTGCTGCTTCTTTGCGGCGGCTGGTCCCGCTGATCTCTCTGGCTGCCGCGATCGCTACGACGACGCTCGTAGCTTCGACTGCGCGAGCGGCGCCGACGATTCCGGTCGTAATCATCGCCGCGACCGCCACGCGAACTGCTGCGCCTGGAACGGGAATCACGGTCCCGATCCCGCTTGCGATCACGATCCCGGTCCTTGCTGCGCGAACGCTTCCTCCGTCTGTCCTGGTCGTCGTAGTTGCGCGACTTGCTCCGATTCGAGCGGGAATCTCGGTCACCACGATCGCGATCCCGGTCGCGCTCACGATCCCGATCACGGTCGCGATCACGGTCATCCCGTCGGCGGCTGTCCCGGTCCCTGCTGTCCCTGTCCCTGAAAAATCAATTGGAAATAGGTTATTATTCATAAACACATAATTATGCTTCCATTTCAGTATTTGGAATTCTTCTTCTTATTAATTTACCAAACTCACATCGGTATAACGAATTAGATTAGGACACAGAGTCCAAAATCGATTCCCCTTGATTATAACTTGGCCCCAACTCACCTTCTTTTCTTGTCCTTGTCCCGCTCCTTGTCCTTGTCCCTTCCGCGATCCTTGGACCGGGAGCGCTCCTTATCAGCGCCGCTTCTGCCGCTGCCGCCGTTGGCAGAGGCGGCGACTGCGAGTGAGACTTCTCGGGCCACTGCCGAGGAAAGTAAGTCCGGCGGCGTTGCGCTCATGTTTTCCCGACAACTTTTACACCAACAACTCGCTTAGTACAACCAGGCAAAGTCAGAATAACTCCGAGGACTCTTTAAATAGTAAAAACCGATTTTTTCAGTATGCGGCGTTGCGTGTGAAAATTTTTGTGGCAACGGAACGAAACGAAAATGGCGACGTGCTCCAGTGTTGGAAACGGCATGCAATTGGTGGTGAGAGACCGTAGCTGTTACCTGTCACGGAAACGTTTTAAATATTTGATTTAGTTACTTGGATTTTCTTAGGATCGATTTGATTTTTGGGTTAACTATATAAATAAATGTTTTCAACATGTTGATTTTCCCCAATATATTAAAATATTTTTAGTAAGCATAGGTATAAAAAATATATGTTTTGTTAAATATTTAAAGTGGCTTCTATCTGTTCCTACGAATATTAGCCGTGACTATTCCCAGGCTTAGCCAACACTACTTTTGGGATTTTTGAAACGCGATAGTACGTTTTAGGTTGCACGTGTGCGGTATTGTGCAGTTTTGTTTTGCTTCATGAGCTTGATTTAATTTATCCCAAAACTCGAACTAAAACAATGGTGGCCAAGGGCAAAAAGGCCAGTGCCGATGCGGTTTACGCCAAAAAGACGGTGAAATCGGCCAATCCCTTCGACAACTCGTCGGCGCAGACGAGTAAGCGTGGACAGAACCAGAATCCCTTCGATGTGCACGTCAACAAGGAAAAGTTCAAGATTCTGGGCAGGATCTGCAAGCATGACAGGGGAATGCCGGGCGTGTCGCGGGCCAAGGCTCTGCAGAAGCGTGCCCAAACACTGGGTCAGCAGTTCGCCGTGAAGCACAAGACCAACCGGTTTAAGGACAACCGAATTGGCAAGCATTTAAGCGGCGATCAGCTCACGGAATCCGTGATGAACGCCCGCTATCTGGCCGAAAAGATGTCCCAGGTGCGCTCCAACCAGAAGGCGGAGAAGTTCAACCTCAACGACGACGAACTGCTGACCCACAGGGGCCAAACTCTGGAAGAGATCGAGCAGTACAGGGACGAGCGGTCCGATGACGAGGAGCTAGACGACGAAGCCCTAGATGGTGGGTTCTCAGAAAGATTAGACTTTAAAGCCCATGACTAACTAATTGTTCTTCTTAGCCGACTTCACATCTGCTGCTCACTTTGGAGGCGATGGCGACACCGCCCAAGATCGGCAGTCAGCCATCGATGAGATGATCGTCGAGCAGAAACGCCGCAAGAACGAAATCGCAAAGGAGAAGGACGAGGTGTACGATCTCACCGAGAAACTGGATGCCAACTACAAGCTCCTGCTGCCGCTGGTGGCCAAGGCCACCAAAGATGAGCAGGACGCCAAGCCGCCACCAGATGCCTACGACAAACTGCTCAAGGAGATGATCTTCGAGCCGCGCGGCAGTGTCACGGATAAGCTAATCAATCCCGATGAGTTGGCCAAACAGGAGGCGGCTCGTCTGGAGAAGCTGGAAAACGAGCGACTGCGACGCATGCGGGCCGATGGTGAGGAGGATGAGCAGGCCTCCGTTTCACAGCCCAAACATCGTTCAGCGGATGACCTGGACGATGGGTACTTCTTGGCTGGCGACGATGATGCCGAAGATGATACCCTGGCCTACGACTTGGAGGGCAATCTGGGCACACATCTCAATGGGAAAAAAGAAGCCAAGAAGGAGGATGAGGAGGAAGATGGTGAAGAGGGCGACGAAGAGGAGGAGGAGGACTCCGATGAGGAGAGCGATTCGGACGTCGATAATCTGAGTGATCTCAAGGAATCCGAGAGTGAATCCGAGGCAGAGGAAACTCCTCAAATCAGCAAAAAGAAAGCAAAGAAATCGGAACAAACTCCTGCCTCGTTAGATACCAGTATACCTTTCACCATCAAAATGCCCAAGTCTTACGAAGACTTCACTGAACTCCTTGCCAAACACGCTGCTCCCCAGCAGGCCACCATAATCGAAAGGATCATTAAATGCAATCATCCCAAACTGGAAGGCGTGAATCGTGAAAATGTGGTCAAGTTGTACTCGTTCCTGCTCCAGTATATCAAGGATTTGTTTGAGGATGCCAGCGAGCTGGACATACGTGAACATTTTCAACTGCTCTCAAAGTTTATGCCACATTTGTATGAGCTGACGCAATTGAATCCCGAACGAATGTCCAATACATTACTGGAAGTGATCAAAGAGAAGTATGGGGAGTTCAGGAAAAACCACAAGTTGTATCCTTCGCTAGAGATACTGGTTTACTTCAAACTGGTGGCCAACATATACTCCACATCAGATTTCCGTCATCCGGTGGCCACGCCTTGCTTTGTTTTCATGCAGCACATCCTGTCCAGATCGCGAGTGCGAACGCGTCAGGAAATATCAATGGGTCTCTTTCTGGTCACCGTGGTCTTGGAGTTTGTGTCGCAATCCAAAAGAGTTCTCCCAGCTGTTTTTAACTTCCTGCAAGGCATTCTACACATGTCCATACCCAAGCGGGATGTGGAGCAACTCGATATCACGCCACCCTTTGAGCGGGATGGACCTTTGAGCAAACTCCTGGCACTCCCAGCAAATAAGGAATGCCAGAAACTGGAGCCCCAACAGCTTCAGGCTGCGGACTTGGTCACCCAAACAGTCACTCCAGACTTCAAGGTTCGGGCACTGGACACAACTCTCCTGCTGATCAAGGAAGCTCTTCAGCTGGTGGAGGAGCATGTGGGTGCCTGCTACTTGGCCAAGCCCTTCCTGAGGTTACTCGCCCGCCTGCCACTTGACTCGTATCCCGACCATGTGCATCTGCACCACAAGGAAGCAACCCAACTGGCCGAAAGGCTGGCTGAGCAGAAGATGAAACCCCTGGCTCCGGCGGAAAGGAAGCCCAAGGCTCTCAGGCTGCTGGAACCGCGGTTTGAGGCGGTTTACGACGACAAGCGGCGGCCCAAGATGTCCAAGGCCAAGGAAGAGCGGGCCAAGCTGCTGCACAAGATTAAGCGCGAGAAGAAGGGCGCCATCCGTGAGATCCGCAGAGATACTGCCTTCGTTCAGGAGCTCAAGCTCAAGCAGACGCTGCGAAGGTGGGTTGTACATTTAAATGTGGTAATCCTTCTTTCAAACCCATGCTTATTTATTTACAGCGACAAGGAGCGCCACGAGAAAGTCAAACGCATCTACCAGGAGGCATCTATGCAGCAGGGCGAGCTCAACGAGTTGGCCCGTGCCAAAAAGAAGAAGAAGTTCTAGATGTGCTCCAACTAGGTTGATGTTGAATTAGATTTTAGCTAGACTTTACACTAAAACTGAGAGTAAAGAGCAGCGCATTGCAGCTTCTATTTTAATAACACAAAGTCGACCTTCAAAATTGAACGTATTAATGCTAACCTATATTATTCACAAACAACAGGGTGGGTCGATCTCGATTGAAGTGAAGGCTAAAATCAAATAGATTATGTAAATTCGAGAGAGTTAGTTTCTTCAAAATGTACCATTATTTCGTTGCGGACAAATTTAAAGATATTAATATTGATTTACACTGTGATTTGAGCTTGTTAATTTTAAATTTAGGCAAATCAAATGAATTAATTAAATTTGAAAGAATCAGGAGAACAGAATAAAAGTAAAACTTACAATTTTTCTTTAACCAGTATCACTTTTATTTAAGAACTTTTTTAAGCTATGATTAGATTGTTAACCAAATCGACCCACCCTATTGTATGTATATAAAATCCAAAGTGTCTACGCCTTCTTGCCCGAGATTTGCCGGCATCGCAGCGTTGCCTGCTCCACCGCTCCAGCCACTGCTGCCCGAAAACCTGCAATCGACATCAAAGGTTGAGTTGGAGGCGATAAGCGAGTGCGTCATCCGCATCATCACCGCCACTTACCTGACAGCTCCAGTTGTCTGAGTGCCGCCGCCGTCGAGCCCGCCGGACTAGTGACCCCGTCTTTGAGCTGTCCGGGATGCAGTCCACTGTCCCGAACCATGTGACCAGCTCCAAGGACGGTTTGCGATGCCAGGCGGTAGGCCAGATCCCTGGGCATTCCCATATGAACGGCTCCGTCGGCCAAAGCCTCAATCATCACAAACACATAGGCGGGTCCACTGCCACTTAGGGCAGTGACCACATCCAACTGGGACTCATCCACCGCCTCGCAAGTGCCCACGGACTGCAGAAGCTTTTGAGTGACCTCTGCATCTGCATCGGTGGCCTGGGATCCACGAACGAATACCGAGCAGCCTGAACAAACCACTGCCGGCAGATTTGGCATCACGCGGATCACACGAGCTTGCTGGGAAAGACTGGACTCGATGGTGGACAGGGTGATGCCCATGGCCACGGAGAGGAATAGTTTGCCGGAGCTGATTGGTTGAATCTCCGATAGAACCGAGGGCACCACTTGGGGTTTCACGGACACAAAGACCACGTCTGATTGTTGCACAACAGGTGCATTCTTAACCACTGTTTCCACTCCCAGGGCTTGAAAGGATTGCAGGGAGAGCTTATCCGCCGGATGCACACTGGCTATCAGAGTGCTGGGTTTGGCCAAACCTGGAGATTTTGAAGAGCGTTCGATTAAATTGTGAAGTCATGTATTAAAAAGATTAGTAATTTTCTCCAAAGAGAACATTTCCTAGATATTTATCCCTTATACTTTTTCTCACATCGTATATTTTCTTAGGGTTTAAGAATAAGTAAGATATGGAGATTTCTATAACATATATCTCACCGGCTGCCAGGAACCCCTTGGCCAAAGCTTTGGCCATATTGCCACCGCCCAGGAATCCGATCTTTCCGATCGTCGACATTATGTTTTAGCTTTACTTTAATTTCGCGGCTTGAGTACTGCACTTTGTGCTGGCGGAACGGCGACTGTTTGTCCGCTGCCGGCGCTTACCAAAAACAGCCCGCGGGGACTGATAAGAAATCTGGCTCGATCCACCCCCAACCCCCTGCGATGTGCGAACAACAAACCAAGTGATTCGGGCTTATCAGGGGGAGTTCCTGTGTGTTGGTTCCACACACAATTGCGTCCAATTAATAATAACAACTATACAAATAATTATTACTTTTTTTAAACATTATTTTCTTATGATAATATATTGAAATATTAAAAGTTATACTTCATTTCTTTTGTTGATTGGGATATTTTATTATTTTGTCCGCAATTGTATAGCCTTTATCTGCTAGAACTGGCTGCGGAGTGGAATTCATTCACCCATTAGCAGGCATGACGAAGTCCAAATTTATGCGAGGTGCCGATGCCCTGTAATCCCCGCAATCGTACATTGATCCATTTTGATGTTTCGAGTTCTATTCGCGCGAGGCTCATTGGAAATATTTATTTACCAAGTTTCGAAAACACTCTGTACTCTTAAAGATAAGAACGGTTATCAGTTGAATGTGATAACAATAACGGAGAAAAAGGTTTAGTAAAAGAGACCAAAATTGTAGACTTTTTAGTAAATGAAGAATCATTGCCGTTGCAATCTTCTTATACATTTATTTATATAATATGGGAATGAAAAAGCTGCTGAAAGACTACTGCGTTTTCTTTATGTTTTGTGATGTTGGTGTTTATTGACGTTGTAGCTAGACGGGTTTCGCATGAGTCAATTTTTATTTAAGATGGATTGGTATTTGCGGATATAGTTTTGAAAGAAGGGTTGTTTTAATTACATAGGGTTTCTGTTTAGTTTGTCGGCTCGGTAACGCTTTAAATTGAAAAAAAATGTATATATTTAAAAACTGTAATTTGAAAACCGATAACAGAATCCAGCTAGCAATCGTTTCATTCCGCATTCCCGCCAAACATCGATATTTCCTGGCAAACATCGAAAGGCCGATATTTTGAAAACATCGGTGTTATCGATATTGGCATCGAGGCTTCCACCTCTAGAGCGCTCACACGGGAGTAATTTTTACCGTAGAAATTGCAATTTAACGCCTTGCGATAGCCAGAAACTCTTAAAACACTAGCTACCGATTATAACAAAAGAGGGACTGCCAATGGCAACGGATTAAGTACGTGGATATATCCAATTCCAGACCTAATTATCTCCCTTAGCGTGTGTGAGTGCCTGCGTGGGTGTGTGTGTGTCCGTGTGCCCCTGTATGTGTGCCTTGTTTTCTCACACAATTTCGCTGCAATTTAGAAAAAATTAACAAAAGCGCAGTAACAGCAGCAACAACAACAACAACAACAAGGAAACGCATCAATTTCGAGGTTGCTTGAATATACTAGAAAAATAAACATTCAAGTTGGAGGAGAACTGGAAACCGTATACCCAGTGGCTGATTGATAAACAACCCGAAAAACACCCTAGAAATTCTGGAGTAGGACGGTACGTATGATACCTCCAGATCGTATGGCCATGAAAACCTAATTGATTTGCAAATTACCCGCAGGGCCACGTCGCTATCGCTTATCTACTGCACTGAGAGAAAAACAAACGAAGTGTGCCAGTCGTTTTCGATCTTTGCCTTAAAATTCTCTGGCGGTCGTGATTAGTTCCCAAAAATAAACAAACCCAAAAAAACATGTCCTCGTCGTCGGCGTCCGGCGGTCGAAAGCAGCCCACTGCCGTGTCCCGGATGAAGCAGGACTACATGCGGCTCAAGCGGGATCCCCTGCCCTACATCACCGCCGAGCCGCTGCCCAACAACATCCTCGAGTGGCACTACTGCGTCAAGGGTCCGGAGGACTCGCCCTACTACGGCGGCTACTACCACGGCACCCTGCTCTTCCCGCGCGAGTTCCCCTTCAAGCCGCCCTCCATCTACATGCTGACGCCGAACGGACGCTTCAAAACCAACACGAGGCTGTGCTTGAGCATATCAGGTAGATATGGGGGTTCTAGGGGCTTCAAAGCTATGATCTATCGCTAAACACTGGCAGAATCACATCATAGTTTTTGTAAATTATGAAGGTATGCTGTCCTAGAATTGGGTACATCCCTCCTTGAGCCTCATTAGATTTATTTCATCATAATCCCCATAAATAAATCATAAAGACATATAGTGCTTTACGTCAGGTTTGCATATTAGGTTGTTGATATCATCACTACGATTGTTGAACAAGTTAGATGCATGTAGAACTCTTAAAGTTTAAAGTCATTTTTAAATACACATTTTCTAGTGTCTTAAAAATAAATAATGCGGACTTATTTAATCATCATTAATCGATCGAGGAGTAAGGTGTGGGGAAATCAAATCAAATTAAATGAAATTTATTCAGCGCCTCTAATACAATACACTTTTTGTTTATGTCTGTGCTATCCAATCATGTTTTTTAGTTGAATATTTCCGCACCTGGGTGATTTTAATTTTAGTACCTTATTTACAAGAATGTATGCTGGTTAAACAAATTCTATTTATACACTTGTCTCAATTAAACTACAAAAGGCGTGCTACCAACATTTGTCTGTGACCTTTTTCGGAAACACACATTGCTATGATGATAATTTACAAAAAAAAAAATGTTTTATCTTATCTATATTATACTAGAACGCTTTCATATTTCTTGATAATCATTCTTCGCTAATCTGTATTGTGTTACAATTTTATATATTATCATCGAGTTGATTAACATTTTAAAAGTTTAAATTGTAGTCGCTAAAAATACACCAAGTATTACATTAATAAATATTAAACTGCCAGGAAACAATGTTTTGAAAGGAAAGAAAAAATTGTGTGCATTTCTTTAAATGTATAAAAAAATCGAAACTATTAAATTTCCATTTACTTATGCCCTGTTTTTTGTTTTTAGACTTTCATCCGGACACTTGGAACCCCACCTGGTGCGTGGGCACTATTCTTACTGGTCTGCTGAGCTTCATGGTAAGTGCATTGGGCATTCCGGGCATTCATAATTTGATTGATTTGTTTTTATGCCGCAGCTTGAGAGTACACCCACGCTTGGGTCCATCGAGTCGTCGAACTATGACAAGCAAATGTTTGCTCAAAAATCGCTAGCATTTAACCTGCGCAACACCAACTTCTGTGAGCTGTTTCCCGACGTGGTCGATGAGATCAAGCAGCGATTGCAGGGTACCCAGGCGGCGGCTGCGGCGGGCGGTATTGCGTCTACCTCGAGCGGAGCGAAGCGGTCCAACGGGCTGGCCAATGGCGCGTCCTTGGCATCGGCGGATGGCAGTCTGGCGGCGGGTGGCTTGGCCAATCCACAGAATGCAGCGGACGCAATCGATGGTGGTGCGGGGGGTCAGGCGGATTTGGCCAGTGGCGGCGGAGCGTCGGCACTGCAGAACAGTGCACGGAATTCCTATTTAAACTGGCAGTCCGTCTATTCAAACCTGGTGATCATCATCTGCTTTGCGATATTTGCCCTCATTGTTAATTACGTGATCAAGAACCTGAATCAGGAATAGGATTAACGACACAGCCTCTATATTTATATACAAATATAGTTACACATCCGTATGCATGTGCATATTTAATCTAGTTAACTCTAAAGTATAGTAGTCTTCGTGGATTCAGTACCGCTTCAGAAGTATTTACAGACCCCGCTTCAAACCCAAAATAACCGCCACAGGCGCCGCCATCCATTCCCACATTTCCCACGATCTGAAATTATTGGCAATAACAACTAGAAACACAGAAACACATAATTCTAAACTCAATTTGTGAAATCTTTAAATTGTTTTGTTATGTATTCATTACTATTAAAGTCTAGTTTAATGCAAAGTGAATGAAGCCAGGAATATGTTTGTAAATGAATAAAAAAAAAACGGCAACATATGAGCTCGTGTACAAATTAGCTAACTTGTGTGTGAGTTTCCTGCTTATAAAATGGATCTTCATTTTCAGTTACCATAAATTGCCTGATGTTGATTCAACTTGTATAATACGTTGTAATTTGTACTTGGCTTTACGCTGGCTAAGCGGCTTAAATGTGAAGCAAAGTCGCCGACTACTGACCATAATTTTTTCTCATTCTCGGTGGGTAGAGCTAAATCCAATAAAGTGAAGCCTGGGTGACCGACAATGTTTCACATTTAAAGCGCTTAACACACGCCCACAAGTCTCTTTGCGGCAACTTTGTTGGCCATCGTAAGCCGAAATTACTCACATGACGCTTATTACTGGTGAGGTTGGGCAGGAATGACCAAGTTTGTTGGCTTAAACGATTTGTGGCACCCGTTGTTACAGCAAGTTATGTCCTTGCATAAAAAAACTGCAGTCAGAGAGAAATAAAACTTATAATTGTATAAAATGTATAATTTGCTAAGGATATAAGAAAGTATTTTATTTTATTTTATTATTTGTCTATATAGTTTTTAGGTGATTTATTTATATTTTTAAAAATGGACTTTTTGTTTGTAACTCCAATTACCTAATATTTCTGGCATCTTATTCTCCACTCTCCACTTTTATTTTTCAACAGCTACGAAACACGTATGAGAACTTTCTGGATTGTTTTTTTTATGTGCAATAGCCACAACTTCATAAAAGGAAATTCGCTTACTTAGCAGCCGTGGTAAACTCCTTATAAATAAAAGAACGAAGAAGAACTTCATTTTGTGATGAAAGTTTTTTGGCCAGACGCTGAAGCTGATAATTTAAGTAACGTAAATTTCAAGTTCAGGCTGCATGGCAAAGTTTCCGACTGCGGCTGGCACTTGCAACTTTTCAAATTTGGTTGTTTGTTTTATGAACTTGCAACAGTTTAAGCCAATTTCGGCTGCACAAAGAGAGAACAACCACCAGCAGACACACAACATTAAGTGATATCCCGGATGGTGCAGTGGTAGATACACACACACACACACACATACACACAGACCATAACCGAAACATCTCTGGTACTGTCATCAAGTATTTTTATGCGGAGTGAGGATGGGCGGGGATTTGGAAGTCGGTTGTGCTTTTGCTTTT